ACATGAAACATTTTTGATCTGATCAGGCCTTCAATCCGATTAGTTGTGTCCATGTAAACGTAGCTATTGTCGTTTCTAAGTAACCAATTTAGTGCTACTTGGTCCCAATGGAATTTCCCATTGGGAATCCACTAGCACTAAGTTGCTAACTGGTTAGCATGATGCTTCCGAGACACAGACCACAACAATCCTGCCCCCTTGATAAATGACCAAACGTATTCACTTTATTCACTCCTGTAAAGTCGGGCACCACTCGGGAGAATTCGGAAATGCAACAGTTGGAACATTTGCTTCCCTACGACTTTAATTACAGTAGTAGCCATTTAAAATTTCCCCACTTTCCTTGATGGGTCCTTAGCTGGTCTCCAACAGTTCCTGTTTAAACATCAGTCTTTGTACTAAAATGTTCTTTCGGTCATGATTTGTAGACATTAAGACCGAAAGAGAATTGTCGTCTCCTGGTCAGACCCTGTAATCCAGTGTAAGGGTGGAGTCGGAGTAAAGAAACATGCATGCCCAGGAGAAGGCCAGTGGATGGAAGTTGAAGGGAACTTTGCTGGGAGCTGTAGGGAAGTTGGCCAGGACATCCTATGAAGATTAGTTTGTTCGGTTTACACTTAAAACCACCTTAATTAACCAGCCAAAAGGTTCTGAAGATATTTAGTTATAAAACACCCTAACTGGTCTTATCCTTGTGTCATAAACCAAAGAGAGTAAATTGTTTTAAAACATTGAAGCTGATTCCTCCGGTCTGTATTTCCTCGCAGGCTGGATCGGTTATCCTGTATTAATTATAGAGCCTCTATGTGAGCCAGCTGCTAAGCTGAATAAGATCCCAAAATGAGATCTGCAGAGCAAACAGAGGTCATTGTTAGGAGCTTCTAAGCCATTATTTTCCCTGTCAGATTATATCATGCGTTTTATTTGAGCGTGTTCAGAATCTATTGAAGCTTTTAATTGATCGGCTCCTGCAGCTGCTTGTCTGTTTGTGAATGGTGTGATTGAACAATGCCGTGGAAACGGTTCTGCTACCTTTTTCATACAGAGGTTTGCTTCTTCCTCTCTGTTCATGCTGTTGGATGCTGACCCTTCTCACTAATTCACTTTCTCGATCCCTTCTTTATCTCAGGAACCTGTTTGCCAAGAAGGTGAAAGAAAGTCGACCCCCGGAGCAAAAGGATCCGGGTTGGAAGCTGTTTGGGAAGGTCCCACCGAGAGAAGGCGCCGTAAAGGATCCCAGGAAGATCCAAAAGGTCAGAAATGGAGGTTTTAATGATCCCATGACTAAAATATACTGAGACTTCATCAGAACTTTGGAACCTATGAGAAGGTTAAAATATGGAAAACTGGTCAGAGAAGAAACGTCTCCGAACCAGTCTAAAACATTGCAGTGAAAAAAAAAAAACTACTTCCTTTTCTGCTAGACATGCTTGAGAGATTTCTTTGCATCAGCAAACCTGATTTAAGACTATAAACCCCCTCCCTCATCTGTTTGTTAGCTTGTTCTAAAGAGCTCTGTAATTAAAGCATAAAGTTAGATCAAGTATCAGAAAATCCATATCATGGAGGATTAGCAGAGCTGATTCGACCCTTAAATCCTGCTCTGGAAAAAACATCCTCTATACCTTTCAGATGATCCTTTGTTGATATCGGACTGGTTGGTGTTATGCTACTTTCAGACCGGAAGCGCTGAAAGCAGCAAAAAAGCGTCTGCTGCTTCATTTTTGATGCTGGTACACATTAAGCTCAGACGCACCTCCAGAGCATCTTTAATTCTCCTGAAGCGCGTCCAGTAAAGTGTGTCCAGATGCGTCTGATGCTTCTGTTGCTCCTGCGTTTAATGGCAGAGAGCAGCTTTGCTATATTTGCTGTGATCAGTGAGTTAAAAAGTAGTTTTAATGTTTTCAAGTGAGAAAGTCCACCTGAAAACAT